CCAACTGACCATTACTTTTGAAAGTGCTAACAACACTGCGGTGCTAAAAACAACGTTTAATTTTTTATCATGTTATAGTTATTTGCCAGTGATTCTGATTAATTGAGCTGACGTTCTCTGTCCTCTTTTTCTCTCTATAAAGAATGATTTTTAATTTTACCAGAATGCATTCTCACATTCTCTCTTTTTGCCGATTGAGTTCAGCTGCACCAAGCTCAGAGTGCACTGCACTGCGCGCCCCACTGTCGCTACTGCTACTGCTGGGGCCAGCCCTGATCACAGCCAATGGGCGAATGATGTGCTCCTGTGTTTGTGTGCATCTGTGTGTTTGTGCCATAAATGAGTGGCACTAATGGGCATTCAACAAAAAAACTCATCATGGAGACCAAAGTAGACAACAACAGCAGCAGCAAACCCTTCAGTAGTCAGTGCTCTATGTTTGTGTGTGTTCAGCTGTGCAGTCTACCGATCACGGGCAGTGGCAGCCAGAGACGGAGAGCCACGAGATGGGGATGTGCAATTTAGCGATAGAGGGAGAAGGAAAAAGATGAAGAGAGAGAAGAGAAAGGATGCACTGTAAAAAGCAAACATAGTAGCAGCATTTGGCGATGCAGTGCCTGCCACTACCATCCCCATCGCCATCATCATCATCATCAGCTCAGCATCATCAGCATCAGCATTACTGCCGATCAGTGCGATATGAGTGGGTGCCACTCTCTCTTTCTCTCTGGCTGTTTGGGTGCAGTCCAACCAACTCGACCCCAGCGCAAAAGGGGTGGCGGATGACGGTGGTGGTGAGCTCCACCATCACACACTCTCTTACTCACTCGTTTGACAGCAACAGCAGTGATGGTGGCGAAGGCGAATTCGGTAATCGATGGTCGCCGTCGCTGTTGTCGCTCTAGCCCTTCTCTTCGCCCTCTTCGTGGCTTCTACTCTTTGCTGTGTGTGTTGAAAAAACGGAACCATTGCAAAAAGTGGCTGCTCGAGAGGAGAGAGCTACTCTCTGTTCTTCACTACAGTCTATACTACAGCAGCATTACTGTCTGGTGACCGATGATGCTGCTGTTTCTGCTGTTGATGGTGGTGGTGGTGGTTGCCAGCCTGAAAATAGTCGGCGGGAGGATGGGACGCAAGAGGGAGAGGAGGCAAACAGGGAAAAAAGGGTGCTCCACCACACTCTCTGTCCCGTCCCAAAACTATCCACCGCCAACGAGTGAGGAAAAGCCGAAGAGCCAGACACAGTCTGATTTGCTGGTGCACCCACGGTGGCACTTCCATTCACACACACACTCTCTTATCTCTTCTATCGTGAACACCGATTGGCGGAGGATTGATTGGTGTTGAACTGATGTTGTTTGATGTGCAGGTTTTCATTGTCAATTGTGGTGGTAGAATTTTATTGTGAATTTGCAAAAATCAACTAAAAACAGTTTGAGTTTTTACCGTCAAAGTGTCTTATTTTTCTTCATTAATTATTGTTAAACAAAGTTTCTCTGCCTTATTGTCTGCAAATTCAATTTTCGATCATTAATTTATGCTTCATCGATTGACACAACCTGCGTCCAATGATGTGATTTTTATTTCATCTTTTTAAAAAACTTCATCTAATAAACTTTTATCTCTTCTCACCAATGATCACCTCCAAATCACCATCACCACCACCACTAGTCGCCATGACCACGCAGCCTTCGAACGAGTCCGAGCTGCAGCTGTACCGTGTTCTGCAGCGTGCCAATCTGTTGGCCTACTACGACATCTTCATCTGTCAAGGTACGTGTTTTGAGTTAGCTCCAGCCAGCCAGTGTGGAACAGCATGGCCGCCACCACTGCCTGTCCCTGACCACCAACAGATAACATCAACAGAGGTTCGCTCTCTAGGAGGTGATGACCTGCAGCAGCTCTGTGATGCCGGTGAAGAGGAGTTCCTGGAGATCATGCAGCTGGTCGGCATGACCAACAAGCCGCTGCACGTCCGTCGACTGCAGAAGGCACTGCAAGAGTGGGTCACCAATCCAGGTAAGGCGCCAGTGTTGAGTTAGTTAGTTCAATGAATTGTTAAATTAGCTAAACTCACCATGGATGTGTTCTGTGCAGCCCTCTTTCAGTCGATGGCGCCCTTTCCTTCGCCCAGCAACTCCACGCTAAGTCCCATGTCAGGCGGTGCACCCTCCACTGGTGCCGGCACAGGAGGTGCTGGAGGTGTTGGTCCTCTACCACCACAATCTTCCTCTGGCCGATCTGCACCGGCCACTGTAGCAAACAACAGCAATAACAGCAGCAGCGGAAATCATCACAGCAGTAGTGGTGGTCAGCACAGCCACAGCCACAACAACAGTCACTCCAGCAGCCAGCAAACCAGCAATCACTCCAGCAGCCATCACAATCAGTCGCAACAGTCGGCTTTGGCGCAAAATAGTCCCAACCACGTCAGTGGCAGCTTCATGCAGGCCACCTTCACCGGCAACATGTCCACTCCTTCGCCCAACCAATTTCCGGTAAAAACAAGAATAAAAACTTGTCAACTAAACCTGCCTGACACTGAATCATTCTCTAGAATCCACTAAGTCTGAGCGAGTACAGTCAGCCGTGCAGTCCAGTGTCGATGAATCCAGTGCTTCTGGAGCGACAGATTCAACGCCTAGCTGAGGCTGCGGACACACTGGTAAAGAATCTGCCACCAATGGAACTAAAGCCGCTTCTAAATGGCAACAAAAAACGCATCAACAAGGATATTGAGGTAAGAAGAGAAACTTTGTTTAGCTTTACACTTTTGGTCTAGTTTAGGTTTGCGTGCACTCACCAGCTTAGCAAAAGGCGGCCATTTTTTGTGTGTTTTAGCACTGTGGGACATCTTGCACAAACATGTCACCAGCAGCGTCTTTAGAGCTAGAGCGCCACTTTCTTCTCAGTGCACCACCATCTCAGTGAAAACAGCAGCAGCAGCAGCAGAAAAAAAGAAGGAGGAGAGTGGCAGTGGCCAGTGTTCCAGAACAGTGACAGTGCACAGCAGGCAATTGCCGCCGATTGGCCGCCGTCGGTGTCAGGCAGTCAGGCCCAGCCCAATCCTCTTCTGTCCTCTTTTTGCCAGTGGATGTCAGGCAGCCAGCGGCACTACCACCACACATTCTATTTCCCCACAGTCCGGCGGAACACTTTTTGCAGCACTCTGCAGTGCAGAGTCTGCACATCTCGATTAGCATAAAAAGTGCCTGCACTCGTATGCTTGAGACAGCACTGCTCCTGTTCCCCTTTCTCTCTCCCTGTCTTTCTCCCCACTTCAGCCCTTCACTTTGGATCGATCCACACAACTGTCGCTTGTTTGTTCCCGTCCCGCATCTCCCTCTTTCTTTCTTTCCTTCTCCCAGTTTGGCACCCTTCTCCTCTCTGACAATGGCAATTTTTTACTATATACCTGGACTCGTGCTTTGACCCTGCTGCTCCTGCTGGCTAGGCCTGCTTTATAGATTTTTTTCCTTTCTTATCAAAGTACATACGTACACAGCTTAACGCAGCACACCGTTAATTAGCACAAAAAATTGTGAGCATTTTTTTGGTTGCACGGTAGAAAAACTAGTGGTGACCGTTAAAAAGATGCAACGAACTTTCAAACTAAAGTTAAACCTGCTTTTTTGAGCCATATGTTCACTGATGCTCACGTTGAATGAAACGTTGAAACGTAGAACACTTTTTACCCAACTTTTTTTGCACTTTTACCCCTTTTCAGAACATCATGTCAATGTCGGAGGATGATCCCCGGCGAATGGAGGCCATTCGCAAGTACGCAGCCATCTACGGCCGTTTTGACTGTAAACGTAAGCCCGAAAAGCCGTTGACACTGCATGAGGTGAGTGTGTGTGTACGCTTGGTGACATTTTTGTGGTAGTAATTGGTTGGCCTGCACTGGTTTAGTCATGTCCCCAGCACTACTACTTGGTCTCCAGACAGTGCTCAACTTTTTAAAACACACAACTTTAATCTCTTTTTAGGTGTCAGTCAATGAAGCGGCTGCACAGATTTGCAGCAAAATTCCCACCTTGCTATACAGACGAGATGAACTTTTTCCACTGGCACGCCAGGTGGTCAGGGACAGTGGCTATCAGTACTCGAAGGGTCACTCCAGGTAATATTGGCAAACAGTTTTGATTAAACAAGTCTCAACTAAAATCGTAAATGTTCTCAGATCGCAAAGTTGTCGTCCATACGATGACTCCAACAGTGAACAGTCAAAGCGAAGGCGCACTGAGTCTAGTCCAATGGGCAATGAGGCAAAGAATGCCATCAACGAGGAGGAGCGAAAGCGACGACAGGTAAAAACAACAGTTCATGAGCACTATTAGAGCAAAACTGACTTTCAACATTTTGTTACATTTCGACTGCTCTCAGGACCGTCTGGAGGGCATCATTGATCAGCTAAAGTCACTGGGCAATAAGCAAGAGGAGCTGAAGGGGCAGATACAGGAGGCAAATGAGCGACAGAACTTTCAGGAGGTGTCCACGCTGCAGAACGAGCTGGAGATCATTGCCGACCACCAGATGCAGCTGGTCAATGAGAAGGCTGAGCTGGAGAAGCANGAATGAGCGACAGAACTTTCAGGAGGTGTCCACGCTGCAGAACGAGCTGGAGATCATCGCCGACCACCAGATGCAGCTGGTCAATGAGAAGGCTGAGCTGGAGAAGCAGCAGAGACGGGCTGAAAAGTGAGTGCAAACGCTGACAAGTTTGAAACCCAATCTAAGACACAATTCTTTTTTTATTTCAGAGCCAAAGACGGCGAAAAGATGGACGATGACACAGGTTTGTTTGAACAGGCACATAAACTTTTCTTCCTATACTTAAGAACTTTCTCTCTCACCTTCTGTAGACTCCCAATTTTCGATGTACTCCAGCGAATCGACGCCCTCACTGCTGCAGGACTCTCAGCAGGACTCGCCCTCAGCAGAGAGTGCCCTCCTCTCAGTTGGCCAGTCGGTGATGGATGTCTTCAGCAGCAAGCCACTAGCAAGTACGTTAGAACTAAACTTGATTTACCTGGCTCTCAAACAATCTCTAACCTTTTTCTGTTTACAGACAAAAAAGCCAAAATGAGCAGCACTGGTGGCACTTCTATTGGGTCTTTGGGCAATGGCGGCGGCGGGGGCAGCAGCAACAGCAACGATTCGCTGGACTTTGCCAGCAAGCAGCTGCTGAATGAGGCGCTGATCGATGAGGGCCTGCGAATGGCCAAGGAGATGGGCCATGCACTCTCCGATGAGAACATCGACTTGCGTCTCTTCAACAAGTACACCGAGGCGCTGCGCAACTCAAACTGCTTCGCCAGTCTACTTCCCGGAGCCATCGGAGCAGAGCAGAGCAGCACGGGCAATGGAAGTGCCAACAATGGAAATGGCACTAGCAGCGGTGGCGGCGGAAATATCGTTGGCAGCAGTGTGGTCACTGGCACCAACAGCAGCAGCAGCAGCCACACTCGGGCACTCAAAGAAGGTGGCCACAGACCACGAGGACGACCGCCGAAGAACGCAGCCGCCGTGTCCGCAGAACGGTGTGCCCCCGATCTGCAGAGCACCTTCTACGAGCAAATCTTCTCACAGGCGCAACTTCAACAGCAGATGATTGCCAACTACCAGACACAGGCGCTGCAGGCGGCACTCGCCTTTGATTTCGCCGGCCTCGCCGGTGCTGGACCTAATCCGTTTGCTGGGGGAAATGGCGGTGATGGGAATAACAACAACAACGGCAGCAGCAGCAACAACAACAGTGACAAGATGGATGCAGTCGCCTCAGCCCACCTGACCGACTTTACGATGCACCTCAGCGAGGGAAAGCACTTTGGTGATGGGGGTGGTGGTGGTGGTGGGGCTGGTAGTGGTAACGGTGGTGGTGACGGGAGCAAAGACTGCGATGCTGCGGCGGCGGCTGCAGCCGTTGAGCTGCTCAACGGCTGCGACAAGGACGAGGTGGCACAGAGCTTGAATGCGCTCATCTCCATTGCCAATGCGGCCAGTGCCAGCGAGGTCATCAAGCACGAACTAAGTCTGCCTTCGGTGGACTTTAAGATTGCTTAAGAAGCTGGTACTTCCAAGAGAAGCCATGAACAAGAACAAGATTTTTGCATTAACTTTTCACACACCTTTTTCAACACTACTTAATATTTCATAGTGGACGCGAGTTTTCCGGCATTCCGATCTTATCTTATTACAGTGGACACACTTGATTCGCTTTTTCACGTAAACATCTCAATAAAACAATAAAACACTTGTCACTTTTGAAATACTGGAAAGGCAGTGGCACTCCAGTTGATGTCCCAGTCAAGTACGCAAAAGTTTGTCTCAAGGTTTGCCCTGAATTGCTCAAGTTTCTTACCGGTGGGGTAGTCTTTGAACAGTTGCACCAGACACTGAACCAGTTCAGCGGAGTCACCAAATAGAAGGCCGTTAATGTCCTCAAGAACAAGTTCAGAAATGCTAATGTTAACAAACAATGATTAGTACAAACAAGTAGAACATAGTTAAAACTTTCCCTTACCTTGGATAGCGGTAAGCACACACAGGAAGTCGGCTACCAAACATGTCGACCACTTTCATTGGCAAATCGAGGCCACTTGAAGATTTGTGCAGACAAATACCCAGATTGGCGCTATTTAGCATCTTTGGGTAGTCTTCTGGCTCTAACCAAGGGAATATGAATCGAGTGTGTCTGAAGGTGTACTCCTTCAGCTTATCAATGTAGTACTGCTTCATTGGGCCTTTTCCGGTGATGACACAGACAACTTTGAGATCACTGTTGTTGACGATGAGACGTGCGGCATGAGTTTTGTCAAACTCAAACAAGGCATCAAGTAAAATCTGAAAGTCTTCGTCTTCCGTCCAACTGGTACTGCTGATCACCAGAATAGGCGAAGTATTCTTTGGCTCAACAGTGCCGGTCACCTCATTATAAACCGTAAAGAGTGTTTCATCTTTCGCTAAGCACTCGATTTGTGAATATTGATTTTGAAGTTTTGTAAGGAAATGGTGTTTGTCCAACAAAGACGACTTTTGGAAAAAAGAGTACGGCCTGTCGTACAAAACAATTGCACTGCAAAAAGAAACACTTTGTTACTCCGAGTACTTTTTAAAAGCCTGCTTTACTTACTCTTTGTTGATGTGCCTCTTTAGATCCCGTTTCATCGCCTCTGAAACACAAAAATCAAAATCGGACAGTTTTCCAAAACTAAATTCAAGAAATCGATATAACTTGACAAAAGGGTGGGTTTCGCCCAAAGCAAGGGCAAGAATTGAGTAGCCGTAGTTGTGCCAATCAATAACAAAGTACGCTCTTTTGAGGCGAGAAGAAAGATAGACTACCATCAGAGCAGGAACTGAAGGTGGGTTCTGAAAAGACGGGGGTTAGAAGCATTTACAGGTACAACTTCAAAACTGCTTACTTGAACCAAAATATGGCTACAGATAGGCACTTTAAAAAGTAAAGTAAACAGCAAAGAGAAAGTCTGCGTCAATGCTTTTAAAATGTAATTGATGATTCGTGGAACACCTGAAGAGAAAGTTGATTCAGTTAAAAATAAAAAAACAATGTATCCGATTTACCATTGATGTTTTTGTAAACGTGTATGCCATGAATACTTATACTTTTGTTAGACCTAAGTTTCTCATGTGGTGTTGATTCTGTAAAATGACAAAGTTAAAACAGGTTTGAATACAAGACATCACATGCTTTACCATTGTAGCCGACAATGTCAACNTAAGTTTCTCATGTGGTGTTGATTCTGTAAAATGACAAAATTAAAACAGGTTTGAAAGATTTGAATACAAGACATCACATGCTTTACCATTGTAGCCGACAATGTCAACATCAAATCCACTGCGAGCAAGTGACAGCGAGTGGTACTGCATCCGAGGACTGCGTCCGATGTCCCCGAGGACGCAAACACAGACTCGCTTCTTTGGATCGGCCATTGCGTCTTGAAGCCGGTCGCTGCCAAAGATTGACGTGTGTCTAACACAAATATTCCTCCAGGTTGGAAGTTTTGCAAAAAATATGTTGTTTATCTTTTTTTGCTGTTTTCAAACGAAAACGCAAGATGGCGCTAGAAAAACTAATGTCAATTTTTTTGAATAAAAAAGTTCGAACCTTTCAATTTAACAAAACTCAGATGCAATCTAACTCTCTCTTCAAACAATTTGTATCATTTTACTATTTGTTTTACTTTGTTACAGCCTTTTATTTTAAAGCCACGTCACTTTTAAGATTGTTCATCACTCTTTGCAGTAAGATGACAAAGAGCACCGGGAAAAAGGAAAAGTCGACAGGAAAGAAGGAGCACTCCATTAGCAAGAAGGAGCACTCGGTGGGGAAGAAGGACAACTCACACGGAAAGAAAGAAAAATCGACGGGAAAGAAGGCGAAATCTCAGAAAACGGTGATTCAGGAGAAGCAGACACTGAACTTGCAGAAGAATGTGGTCACCCATTCCTCCTCCTCCTCGCTGGACTCGAACAGCCCCAGCACTGTTCTCGACGAGATGAGCAGTGTTGTAGGCAGCAGTCAGGTGCACTCGAAGACCTGCTCACCGGCTCATCACCATGGTGCCCACAAGACTCCGGAGAGTCACCATGGCGGCGGCGGAGGAGGAGGAGGAGCTCACCATGGCGGCCACAACGGTCACCACTCGCCGCACTCGCCGCACTCTCCGCACGCCTCTCACGTGCCCAGCATGGACATCGCGAATATGCAGCGAAACGTTCCGCACAGCAGTCGCATCGTCTCCTCCAGCGGCAAGTCGTCGAAGGTCTCCGTGCGATCTCGCGTTCGCCACGACCCTCGTGCCGACCCTCGTCCCAATGAGAATGTCCCCATTGAGGCCTCTGCCGACAGTTCTGAGGGAGACAGTGCACCGCAGAAGGATTTGATTATGGAGAGCTGCCTGGAGCCCACGCAGCTCTACAGCGATGACGTGCGAAGTGAATTTCAGCCAGAGACGATAGCGGTTCTGGTGAACTCAGAGTACGATCCGGAGCAGTACCTGAAGAAGGCGGAGAAGGGCGAAGACGACAGCTACCTGGCTCGACACGTCGACCCGCAGAAGTTGACCACCTTTATTGTGAACCACATGGAGCAGTACTACGACATATCGAAGGACGGAAATCCGCTCAGTGTGGTCCGTCAGCAAATGGACAACTACCTCTGGGACAATCTGGCGTACATCATTCCGATGCTCTGCCGCGACATAGGCACTCTCCTCCACAAGGAGCCGATGATCATTCCCGACGTGGAGCCAAATGCGCTCATTTTTGGCGACCTTCACGGCAACTTCAACGACCTCTTCTACATCTACAAGAACTTTATCAGCAATGCCAAGTACTCCAGCTATCGCTTTGTCTTTCTGGGCGATTATGTCGACCGTGGTCCGAAACCAGTGGAGATTTGCTGTCTACTCTTTGCACTGAAGCTCGCCGAACCAAAACGCTTTATTTTACTCCGTGGCAATCATGAGGCAAGCTCAATAACACGAAGGAATATTTGAAGTTTTAGTAAACAAAAATTTTTTTTCAGGTGCTCAAGGTGAACCGCAAGTACGGTTTCCAGCAGGTGTGCAAGCACATGTTCCTCGACACGTTCATCACCAAGCCAACTCTGGCTGAGCTTAACTACTTTGCCTTCAACCGAGCCTTCTGCTTTCTGCCTGTGGGTGCCGTCATCAAGGGTCCTTCTGGTCGAAGTATGTCAGAATATTTGTTGTCTTTGTTACTTTACAATCACATCATCTTCAATCACACAGGCATCTTCTGCTGCCACGGCGGTGTGCCCAACCAGGCACTAAAGGACGACGGCCATCGAGACTCAGCGTGGACGGTGGACCGCCTGAACACTCTGCTCGTAAAGCCTGCCTCCCTGTCACCCAGCAAGAAGGCTCGCAAGCAGGTGCTGGCCCTCAATGAGATCTTGTGGA